TATGGGCCAAAACCAACCTGACCCATTGCCCACCGCTAATGGGGATAGAAAATTGTCAGACACTCGAACTTACGAGAATTAAGCTTTGTTATGTTGTCGATAGAGAATTATCAAAAAATTATCATACTTCCATTTTGCATTGAATATAAATTTAGTTTTGACAGAGCACGACCCTTGCTATTCCGAATAAAATAAGTCAATTCATTTGGGACCCTACGAATCTGCTGGATAGTCAAACCAACTCTCATACGAGCTCCAGGTGGTTCATTCATCTTACCGTAAACTAGAGCCACTTTTGGTTGCCGATTGAATTTGACATCTTTGTTGACATATGAAGATGTGAAAAAAATGATTTGATAACATTGTTGACTATTTTTTAAACAATCCAATGAAAAACTAATACACAACGTTTCTATCATCCAGAATATCGTCCAAAATGTTAGTGTAGCATGATTGAACTTAGGATGTTGGAGTGTGCACCTTCTGTTTTTTTATAGACAAACAAAGCTTAATCCTTGTTTAGTTTAAATTTAATTAAATTTTCAAGTTAAAATCTATAATGGAATCCACAACTTTACAAAATACATTTCATTAAACAATGACTTATTATTATTTTTTATTCTAGTTAAAGAAGAAACGCGAAGAAGGACTATTCGACCCATAATGGGCACCCTAGTTCGACTCCAGTTGCAGACCGAACAACGATCGGGCAACCGAATGTAACTTAACAAACTTTTGACTTGACAACAAAATTACTTATACACGATAATGCAAAGAAAGTCTGGTTTACAATTAAGCATATGTTTGATGGTCATTATTGTATAAAAATGATTTTTGAATATTGATTCTTTTGGAAAATATGTGGTTAAAAGTGAGAATTTTTTTTTATTTACGTGTAAAATACTTTTTTTTGTGAATACGTGACTGAACGAGAGTCAAACAGTGGTTAGCTTATAAATAATTAATTTGCATGTGGCATAAAATAAAGGTTGATGTTATTCAAACAGTGGTTAAACTTGTAAGTAATTCATTTGCATGTGGCATAAAATAAATGTTAGTCCATGTTTGAGTCGCATTAAATTTCTCATTCTTATTTTTTTATTTATTTTTAATCATACATTCTTTAATAAAATAATATTTTTTATCGCATTAATAATTTTTTTTTTAATCACAAATTTTCCATCTATTTATTATTTTAAAATATATTATTCTAAAATAACGTGACTCAAACATACCCTTAATGTTATTCAAACAAGTAAAGAATCTGTTTGGTGCAGCGAGGAACGAGAAATCCGGCGACAGCAGTGGTCAGAAGAGAAGAGTCAAATAATTGCTACCCACGCTGCCCGACATCAAATCATCTTGTCTCTTCTCTTTTCTACCTCCATTCCAATAACAATAATCCCATAATTCTCTCTCCTCTCACTAAAAATTTGATGAATCATGCTATTTGGATAGGTTCAAGAAAGGATAAAAACAATTGAATTTTTTAAAATTGTTCAATCACGCATTGACACGCTATTTTCTTTTTTAAATTTATATTTGAACATGTTTGTGTAGCATCATTTAAATTTGATTATCTTCATTGGCCAAGACTGAACACGAAATCCCATATTCTCTCTCCTCTTTATTAACTTCATGGCCAAGACTTTGGACACGAAAGCCATAATCTCTCTCTAATTGGAAAAAATTTCAAAGCTGTCATTAACTCATTCGAATCGTAATAAGTTAGTCCTCAAGCAAAATTATTAGCAACTACTCTAGTACCTAAGTTAACCTGTTTGCAAGAGTTTAAAATCTCAACAGCTATGGTTAGGAATGGACAAAATCCGATCGAACCCTTCAAAATCGTCCAAATTGAACCAACCCGACTGGTTTGAGTTGATTTTTTTGTTATTTTTACACGGGTTGGGTGGGTTGGTTGTGTAGGCGAATTAAGTTAGGTCGGATTATGGGTTAACTCATAAAAATCGAATAAACCCGCTCAACCCAACCCAACTCAACTATATTTACGAACTTTACAAGTATTATGATATTGTTTGGAAACTCTTAAAATAATATTATAAGATTTAGATAAAATACATTTTACGAAAAATAGGATAAACAAATACACATTCAACACAAAAACATTTTAATTATCAAAAATATTTCTTGACTTCATATAATTTAATATCAATTTGTCCATGTAACATTTCCGAACATGAAGTGCCAAAATAATTCATATTGTTTTGTTCATTGCAACTATGAAAACCAAATATTATATAAGTCATGAGTCAATTATAAATCCATCCAACCCAACCAGCCTACTTTAGTCTTTGTTGACAAGTTGTCCTAACCCGACCAACCTAACCAAACCTGACCGATACTTGATTAGGTTGGGTTGGGTTGGATTTGGTTGTGTTTAAACTTTTATATGGATTGAGTTGAGTTAAATTATGATCAAACCGATCATGTTTGGTTGTATTTGGGTCGAGGCAAAAATCGACCCAACCCATGCCCACCCCTAACTATGGTACTTTCTAGTTTCAATGGTATTTTTCCTAACCATCATTAAGCTTTAAATTTTTTTTAAACTGACATTGTACTTTCAACGTCGTTTCTCTAAGATTTGAATAGAATGCATTTTATGAAAAATAGGATAAACAAATACACATTCAACACAAAAACATTTTAATTATCGAAAATATTTCTTGACTTCATATAATTTAATATCAATTTGTCCATATAACATTTCCGAACATGAAGTGCCAAAATAATTCATATTGTTTTGTTCATTGCAACTATGAAAACCAAATATTATATAAGTCATGAGTCAATTATAAATCTGTCCAACCCAACCAGCATACTTTAGTCTTTGTTGACAAGTTGTCCTAACCCGACCAACCCAACCAAACCTGACCGATACTTGATAGGTTGGGTTGGGTTGTGTTTAAACTTTTATATGGATTGAGTTGAGTTAAATTATGATCAAACCGATCATGTTGGGTTGTATTTGGGTCGAGGCAAAAACCGACCCAACCCATGCCCACCCCTAACTATGGTACTTTCTAGTTTCAATGGTATTTTTCCTAACCATCATTAAGCTTTAAATTTTTTTTAAACTGGCATTGTACTTTCAACGTCGTTTCTCATCCATCACACGAGCTCTTTCCTTTTGAAACTAACAATTTTGATGTTGTGACAGAAGTATTGAAAATATAGCGACGGATGAGAAATAACTTCAAATGTGCAATGACAATTCGAAAATATTTTAAAAATTTAGTAACTGTCGGGAAAAAAATTTAAATACAGTGACTGTTCTAAAAAAATTTAAACTCTTAAGTTGGAAATAACATTGAAAGCATATTTTTCGTTGGATTTTTGACATTTGCGACTGGTCTAACAGTTGATGGATTGAAATCAGATGAAGAATCAACTTTTGGTTGAGGAACTTAAAAAAAAAAGGGAACCAACATAATTAAAGTCGAAAAAATTGTAGTGTCCATCACAATCCAAAACTCTTATTGCACTTGTAACTTTGATGATTATCGAGCGTTAATCACAAGATCTTTAAGAATTTAATTTTTTTCCATCTATCTCATCAGTTCTCTTATTAGCACCAACTTTCGATTGGAATAGTATTAAAAAGAAAAGAAAAGAAAAGAAAAAAAAAGATCTAGTACACTTAGAGAAGTCACGTGTACTTAATCGAACTTCAAAATTTACTAGTACCTTGCTTATTTTTGGGTATGTGGTTACCATTCTAGGCCACTCATTTTACATTCATAATAGAATCTTGTGTCTTGCACATGCTAATTTAAGGATTAACATATTTTGTTTAAAAAATTGAGACTAAATTATTACAATATCTATAAATTGGGGACCAATACTATAATTCTTCCATTTAAAGTTGTCATCACAACCTTGACTTTGAAATTAGGGATGTCAACAAGTCGAGCCGAAACTTGAAATTCGGGCTCTGTTTGAGTAAAAATAATTTGGATTTTTTTTTTGCCAAAGTCGAACTTTTGCTTGACCAACAAATTTAGGCTCGACCTAAACTTTTGGCTCTGGCCTTAATGAGCCTTGACAAGCCGAGCCTGCTCGTTATTTTTCTTTCTAAATTCGTGGCAAATTTAAAATTTTTTTAAAAATTTTAAATTTGTGCAATTTATACGAATTAAAAATTAAATAAAAGTTACGTAACAATATTAACACAACACAGACAGCGTGTAGCAGACATTGCTTGTAACAAAGGCGACACCAGCAGACAAGGCTTGTCATCACAACACAGACAGCTACCTCGCTGAAGGTAGCTACAACAAGACATGCTATATATTTGACCAAATAATTTTATTAATTTTTTTGTAAGTTTTACAGTCTTTTTTTGGCTCAACTCGTCATGGACCGAAAATGACTCGTGTGGCTCAAGTTCAAGTCGACGCCCCAAAATAGGGCTCGACCTAGCCATGAGCCGGGCTAACACGAGCTTTTTTAGTGCCGAACCACGGGTTTTACAAATCGATAAGCCAACACGACCACCATCAAATCATAAATCATAATCATATATACCTAATATTATTTTATTATTTTATTCTCCATTGTAGAAAACACGAAAATGGCTGGAAAAAAATGATGATTACGAACATGTTTTAAAAGTGATTCAAAATCATTTTCATGGTTTGCACAATCATTATTTATGTTTCTTCATCAAATTTAACATTTCTTTTTACGCAAATCGTCAATATGACGATTTATGACGATTTGAGCTAATTATTGAAAGAATTAGGATGAAAATATTGAGAATAACAGTTTGAGGACGAAACAATACTAAAGCCAAAGGTTGAGGACAAACTGTGCAATTAACCCTTTTCATATTATGCAATATTAAAAATTAGAGATATTTTTAAATTTTATTTTATAAAAAAAATCCCAGTTATTCTCTCTCTCAACCTTTATATAAATCCACTTGTAAAAACATCCTTAAACCACTCTCTCTCAAAATCTTTGTTTCTTTCTTCATGGAAACCCTCCTAAACACTTCCAGCTCACCGGAAACGCCAACCTCCCACGTAACACACCCAGGAACGACGTCAGAATCCAGCGAGTGGACGACGGCAAGGTTTGGGACACCGGCACCGGAGCCGGAACAACTGGCTTGCCCCCGCTGCGAGTCAACCAACACAAAGTTCTGCTACTACAACAACTACAACCGGTCGCAGCCCCGCCACTTCTGCAAGTCCTGCCGCCGATACTGGACGCGCGGTGGCTCGTTGCGCAACATCCCCGTCGGCGGTGGTACCCGGAAATCAGCCTCCTCCCACAAACGCTCCCGCACCATCTCCGCCGCCGCCGCCGCCGGTATCACTACAACAGGCAGCTTGGTCACTAATGTAACGACTCAAGCTCACGACCAGGGTGAGGCGAACCCGGTTTCCGTGGGTATAAGTTCGGGGTCGGGTTCTTTAATGAACTTGAACGATTCTGTTCTTCCAGAGACAGAGAGCTTGAGTTCTTGGTTTAGAGGGCAAATGGGCATGGATTGTGGGATTTCGCCTTTGAATGTAAATGGAGCTGGGCCGAATTTGAGTTATGGGCTTGGTATTTTGGACTGGCCCATGGAGGCAGTCGGCGGAGAAAATGGTGGCGTCGCCGTGACTGATGGCTCACCTGGTTGCGACACGTGGCAGATAAATGAGGCGGCCGAGGGTGATTGCTTTGGTTGGCCGGATCTTGCTATTTCTACACCCACAATAGGAAAAGGTCTCAATTGAAACCAAAAAACAAAGGGAAAAAAAAGGAAAGATTATAAAATGTGAAGGAAAAAAGGTTTGTTTTTTGTTTTGTAATTTCAGAGTAGTACTTCTGTTAGGGTTTAATGGAACAACTAGGGATGAGATTTTGGTAATGTACAAGATTAGACTGCAAATGGTTTATATGATGCTATTTCTATGGCTTCTACAAGAGTTATATTGTAAATTTCATGGGTTATTATGATGTTACAATTTGGGTAATTAGCACAAACAATTTCATGGTTGTCTTTGTTGTGCAAACTTGAGATTTACACAGGAAACTCTCGATATTTGTCCAGCATACTCGACTTCTTCATAGCAAATTCGAGGATTGTCGAACAAACTCGAGATTTGACCTATTCATTCGTCCGATCAAATTCATTATGTTATCTAAAACTCGAGATTTGTGTTAAGTTGTGAATCTCGAATTTTGTTTCAGTGAATCACATTTTTAATTTTCAATAAAAGAAACCAATTATCTTGAACAAATTATCCTTGGATAAATTACACAAGTGGATTGCAAGCTTTATTTGTTGGAGAAAATTAACACAATAAGGGGTGTTTGTTTTTGATTTGAGAATTGATTCTCAAATCAATTCTCATTTTCAACCACACATTTTTAATAAAATAATGTTTTCCATTACATTAATAATTTTTTTTTCTTTTTCAACCACACATTTCCCATCATATCACTATTCAAAAATCAGTTCTTCTCCCAAAAATCTCTACCAAACAAGCACTTAGAGATAACAATACTGACTTGTGCAAAGAATGGTCAATTTTAAGGTATAAAAGTCGAAAGGGAAATAGACGATGTGAACGTTTTAATGCCCTTTTGATTTTCTTGCAAGTTTCCTATGGTTTCTGATTAATTTTCCCCTTGTTTTGTTGATTTCACTATCTAGGGATCACCTACATAAAACATGGTGCAACGAACAACTTTTAGGGCATGTTTGGTTTGATCACTAGTTACATTTCATAAATAATTCATGTCGAGCATGGTAGATGACTTTTACATTGAAGATACAAATCACGAACGAAAAAATGATTGTATATTGTATTGCATCAATCTTCGATCCGAAAAAAGGTTACATCTTTCATTAAATAATTTTGAGTAGTGTTTTTGACTTTGTTGTGCTTGCTTAGCAAGCAAGTTGAATAGCAATATGTGCACAATGTGATCAAATAATGAAGTGGGGTACCCAAATATGACCTAAAAGGTGTTAGGCAACACTACCACTAGTAGACCAATGAATGCTTCAAGACATGGAAGAATTGTACCTTACAAAAGCCTAAAATAGTGCAACATCTTCAAATTGAGGTTGATTTCCAAGTTCCAACCACAAATAGAAGATCTTGAATGACACACCACCGACCTTGGCCCATTTGATTGAAATTATGTACAAATCAATCAAACCTTGTTCATGTATGTAAATAATTTCACTAGACAGTGACTGGATTTTGCTTCATATTTCTTCTACTTGCAGTTCTATTTCTCTTTGTTTCATCTACTCCTGACCCCTACCACCCCTAAGGGATCTTTCTTGCTGGTTTCTTAATTTTGTTGGGACTTGCAATAATTAATTCTTAGGGTGGACTCTTCGATGGGATAGGGTGAGAGCGGGATTATTTGATCTTAAGACTTTTCAAGAATCAAAATAGACCGTTTAAATGAAATCATTTTGTTTTATGCATGATGACAGAACTGATCTAGTCAGGAGCCAGTCGATTTCAGTTCTACAATTAAAAATAAAATAAAAAATGTAACGCTAGTGAATTTAAGACTTAAAAGAGTTACGATAATCTGAAATACTCAACTAGAAAAAACATTCAAAATTTTAACTCCTACAACCCAATTAAAAAAGCGACGCTCTACCAAGCTATATCCTCGAGTCAAGTGGAAAATGCCTGAAGTAATCAGATCCTTCTATTTTTTTTCCCTAAACGCTGTTGGACATTCTCAACTTGAACTAGAGACCTCGCTAATAAAGAAAATCATTGTCTAACTAATTGGGAAATAATCAATAGATTCTTTTTGGGAGCAATTGCCCAATATCACATAAAGATGCTCTGAGCATAATAGTACAAAAGAAAATTCTTCAACCTTGACCACTTTTTTGTGCTTGGATTGGGCTTGTTGTTGGAGTTACATTTCAATTGTAATAGATTTGTTGATTTTTTTATTTTTTTGCTTGGATTGGGCTTGTGTATTTTGGACTCTTATTTAGCCATTTTGTGCCATATAAGAAAAAAGAAGCTCATTTGGAGTCTCATATGATTCAAATAAATAATGTTAAATGTCTCACTCAAGGTAGTAATGTAGAGATTTGCATGTCGAATGACAAAACTATTTGACAGAACGAGCTTGTCCCACAATCTGCTATTTACAGAGAACATGTGACTTCAGGTCTCAATTGCAGAGACGGATTGTACTAATGCTGTAGCGGTAATCAAGAATCGAAGCAACCATGCCCCGGAAGCAACTATTATGAAATGCATTCGCAACATGGAGCCAGTGACGAATGCAGATATTTTGAGTTAAGAGGCACAATCAAACTTGTAAAAAAGTTACGAAAAATTAAACCATTCGATATCTTATTTGTTGAATGGCCTTTATTTGCTAATGACCAAGAGAAGGCTCATAAAGGGATGGGCAGCTGGAATTGCAATAAAAGATAGCTCAACTACTTCAAATGACCAGTAAAAATGAAGAAAATAATAGAGGCGTTGAAAGTGTTGACAATTCAACCTATGTCTAGCTACAAAGTGTACAACAGGGATAACAAGGGAGAGAAAAAGGGCAAAAACCTCACACCAGCTCAAAAGACCACTAACCCAGAAGAGAGAAGATAGTGCAAATTGACATCTAAATATATAGAGAACCGACAATTAATTTTTTAGAACAGTAAGATCACAGATTCATCACCTTGGCTAAGGAAAACCATTTTCGTTTCGGAGAAAGACTAGAAACGAAAACCATTTTTGTTTCGGAGAGTGCGCCATGTGCCAAGTGATCTGGAAGATCAATCAAATGCTGGCAAATACAAGGATAGAGTTACGGCCAACGCTAACAAACCCTGCCACCAAAATCAACGGCAGAAAACAAAATCATGCACTGAACCTTTTCAAATTGTGCACAAGTATATCCGGGTATTATAGATGACAACGTTGACTGAGAATTTATAGCTCCTCCTTGTTGAAGGTAATTAGAACTCATCAATCCTTTCACACCTAACAAGCCATTCGAGATAAAAAAGAAGTTAAGATCAGATGTTGAAACAGACATTACTGCTGTAAATTGTAATGTTTTCTCTCAAGTAAAACATTGATGTTGCTGTCATAACTTGCTGAAAGGAAAGTTTTAAAATTAGATATAAAAAAAAATAAAGAAAGTCGGTGGGTCACTTGACCCACCAGGCCACACTGTGCATCCGCCAGTTCATGGAGCCATTATATCAAGGACTCGTTTTCTTTGCTATTAGACGATAGGCTAATAGGGCTGGCTCGTGTTCTTGATAGACAGGCATTTATACAATTTCAAATCAATGTTTGAGTGGACTATCGACCTCCCTTCATTGTACACATTCTTGAGTTCGTTGCATATGAATGAACGCTTGTTTTCCTCTTTAAAAAAGAAAAGAAAAGAAAGAGAAAGTAATTGTATCGATTGAATGGCATTGGATATGAAAAGAAAAGAAGTAACAATAGGAAAATCTACTAATCATTTTTTATTAAATAATGTTGTCTAGCACTGTTCATGCTAAAACATTTACGTTCTATTAAAAGTAGGAATTTGTGAAAGGGAACAGTGTATTACTCATTAAAGTTTGGTTACAAAAGTAACATGCAGTGTCACTTTTAATTAAAAGTTAACATTTCATAAATGAGACATTGTATTACTTTTAATCAGAACTCCACATTTCAAACTTAGCTTGGCCACAAAACAGGAAGTGGACACTACAACATTTTACACATTTTATAACATTTGAATATGGCATTCTTGTTGATGATGCTATAAAATAAAATTGAGTTTATATAATAGCATTTATTAAAAGGCCAAGCCCAAAATGCTTCCCTCCATAATTTACCCAAATATTGAATCCCACCTAACCTATTTTGTTCCTTCCTTCTCTCTCTCTCTCTCTCTCTCTCTTTTACTTACCAATTCATTCATTCTTTCTTTTTTCAGCAAATCACCCTTCATCACCACGGATTTATCTTTAATTTTTCAACTTTTGCCCGCTAATTCTATCCTTCTCTTTGTTCTGAAATTTTTTGTTCAGTACTTAAAGGAGAATTTGAAGCATCTATGGTTTGAATCGGGAGATATGTGGAGATTGTTTCTCCTTCGCTTCCTTAAGAAAGTAAAAGAAAACTTCCTTTTTGAGTTATTACATCTATTGCAACGAAGGACCCTCTACAAATCTGGGTGTAAAATTTTTCTCTCAACATCAGTTTTTGTTTTTTTATTATATGATTCTTTACTTTGTTAAGTGTTATATGTTATTCAGTGTTTTGTGGGTGTATAGGATACGTCAAATTTTGTAAAAATGATTTTGCTATTCATATAGGTGTGATGAAGGTGAATTTGATGGGTTAATCTATTTTCCTAGTTCTGTTCTTACTTCATTTCAGTGATTTCTCATTTTAACTTTTGTTCTCCTTCTGGTAATAATATTTTGAAAACCATTATGTTGTTGATTTTGCATTCCTTTCACTGGCTTTTGAATAAGATATTAAAATTTATTTTGTTTGGATTTCATAGAAATAAGTTGTAATGGTTTTTGCAGATTTCCTATTTCCATAAATTCCAAAGATTTTTGAGATTTTGTTATCCTATCTTGTCTCCAGTTAATTTGCAGACTTCCTACTTTCTTGACAAACTTGGAAAATAATAATTTCATAGCCTGATTGGCCTTTGTGACTTGCTCATATAAAATAACGACTCAAAGGCTATTAAAGGAAATTTGAATCCTACTTTC